GGCGCGCCTGGATGTGACAACGCAGCGCTTTACACAGCTGCGCGCTCCTAGATCCAAAAGGGAATGTAAATGAATCTTCCTCCCGCACAGGCCATTGTGCTGAATGTACAGAGACTGCTGTCTAGAACAGGATAAGATGACTCCCAATCTCCTCATCACTATAACAGACCGTACGATGGTGGTGCTCTCATAGGTTATAAAGCAGGGCGGCACTTTACAGACGCACCTCCGCAATTAGCATGGCTTCCACTGACATTTAAAGATGTACACAAAAGACACCCCGGTCTCCTGTTAGAGTTTTGGGGAACTTTGTGCGCCCCTCTAACCTGAACGATAAGGCAGCCGCCATTTTCTCTGGATATCAGTGGGAAGGGATGTGTATACGGCTCACATCTTCCGGGTACTTACAACTTCCTCTATAATCGGCTCCGGCTTGGCTGCTTCCAGCTGATCCTTCACTTTCTCCTCCACTAGATGGCAGGACGGGACAAAGAGATAAAAACATGTTATTTATACAGTACACGGGCTGGGGGGAACCCTGCTGAGGGGATTTCTCATCACTTCCTGTCCTGCTGAGGGGGAAGGGGGTGAAAAAGGGACAGAAGGTGAAATCTTCCTGATGGGGGACGCAGGTGACAATGAAATGTCACTAATCATGCAGGGGGGGAGGGGATGTGTCAGGGCGAGTCTCCTGCTCCCGGCGGAACAACAGACACGGTCACAGCAGGGGCGGTAGCAAGAGAGCTCTACTGGAGCCCCACAAATTGGGCTTCATGCCGGGGGGTGTTGGAGTGTACAACATCTGTTCGGCAGCTTTCGTACATGAAAATGTTGTACACTCCAACAGGGGGGGAGGCTAGAATATTACAGTTATCACATGACATTGTTTACAAAGAAACTAATAATACACCTGGAAATAAAACAAAAGCATAAATACATTAAAAACTTTATCACAACCTGTTAGAGACAAACACAATGTGTCAATAACTGTACAGTAAAGTGGGGAATTTATTAAAACAATACACAAAATTAAAATCTCATATGTGCTTAACCCTTTCCTGCCGGCCCTCTAGGAGTTATAAACGCTGAAGGCATTTCACAGATTTCCTGATCATGTGATCTCCGTGATCGGCTGTCACCTGGATCAGATGATCAGAAGGCGGCTCCCCATAGCCACAGCATCACCGGGGGCCATTGATAGCAGCACCAGCACAGTGCTGGGTTTGTGCGAATGAGCGCACTCACAGACTGGGGAAGGAAAAGGGTTAAATACAAAATTACTGGCGCTATTAATTCTAATACAAGGTTTATATGAAGGAGGAGTCCTGCAGATCATCCCTCCATGTCCCAGCCAGGCATCCTTATAGGATTACAGCGCAGATACAGCATTACGTCACAATGACATGTGATTACGGGTGGCACATGTGATCCCTTCCATAGGCGCGGTGCGAGGTGTGTGGAGGATGACCTGTAATAACACCGGATCCTGACACATTTATACGCTTATCACTGTTATCTCCTCCGACCCAAATTCAGCACCGTACCTGAGATGGGTTTGGCTGGAGCTACTTGGCGGCCTTTGAGCTCCTCGTCCTCGGGGGTGTAGTTCCTCAGCTTCAGTTCCCTAAAAAAACAAAGACAGTTCATAAGGTGCTGCAAAGTCTCCTGTACAGCTCAGGTTCAAGAAGTCTCACCCCGCGCGTCCCCTCGTCGCCCCGCCGACACATCCTCTCGTCATCCCGCACACCCTCCCGTCCTCCCCTCACCCCCGCACGTCCCCTCCTCACCCCCGCACGTCCCCTCCTCACCCCCGCACGTCCCACCCGCAACGTCCTCTCGTCGCCCCGCAACGTCCTCTCGTCGCCCCGCAACGTCCTCTCGTCGCCCCGCAACGTCCTCTCGTCGCCCCGCAACGTCCTCTCGTCGCCCCGCAACGTCCTCTCGTCGCCCCGCAACGTCCTCTCGTCGCCCCGCAACGTCCTCTCGTCGCCCCGCAACGTCCTCTCGTCGCCCCGCAACGTCCTCTCGTCGCCCCGCAACGTCCTCTCGTCGCCCCGCAACGTCCTCTCGTCGCCCCGCAACGTCCTCTCGTCGCCCCGCAACGTCCTCTCGTCGCCCCGCAACGTCCTCTCGTCGCCCCGCAACGTCCTCTCGTCGCCCCGCAACGTCCTCTCGTCGCCCCGCAACGTCCTCTCGTCGCCCCGCAACGTCCTCTCGTCGCCCCGCAACGTCCTCTCGTCGCCCCGCAACGTCCTCTCGTCGCCCCGCAACGTCCTCTCGTCGCCCCGCAACGTCCTCTCGTCGCCCCGCAACGTCCTCTCGTCGCCCCGCAACGTCCTCTCGTCGCCCCGCAACGTCCTCTCGTCGCCCCGCAACGTCCTCTCGTCGCCCCGCAACGTCCTCTCGTCGCCCCGCAACGTCCTCTCGTCGCCCCGCAACGTCCTCTCGTCGCCCCGCAACGTCCTCTCGTCGCCCCGCAACGTCCTCTCGTCGCCCCGCAACGTCCTCTCGTCGCCCCGCAACGTCCTCTCGTCGCCCCGCAACGTCCTCTCGTCGCCCCGCAACGTCCTCTCGTCGCCCCGCAACGTCCTCTCGTCGCCCCGCAACGTCCTCTCGTCGCCCCGCAACGTCCTCTCGTCGCCCCGCAACGTCCTCTCGTCGCCCCGCAACGTCCTCTCGTCGCCCCGCAACGTCCTCTCGTCGCCCCGCAACGTCCTCTCGTCGCCCCGCAACGTCCTCTCGTCGCCCCGCAACGTCCTCTCGTCGCCCCGCAACGTCCTCTCGTCGCCCCGCAACGTCCTCTCGTCGCCCCGCAACGTCCTCTCGTCGCCCCGCAACGTCCTCTCGTCGCCCCGCAACGTCCTCTCGTCGCCCCGCAACGTCCTCTCGTCGCCCCGCAACGTCCTCTCTTCACCCCGCACATATGTTCCTCCTGTCATTAATGGGACCAAGTACATGTGACACTTTGTCCCTCTTTGATCTGTGCTATGGATGCCGAGCTTCATCCTTCACCCCACCGCTATTCAGCCACGCTGCTCGGTAGGAATGCCTAATTAGTTGTGATTGACAGCGCTCATCTCCAGCATCAGGCAGTTGCCCGGGACCAGCCGTCACTAATCATGCAGGGGGAGGAGATGTGTGGGCCGC